CAACCCGGCTTCCCCCTCCCACCATCTTGTCACATAACTGTCTGGCACCCATGCCTATCCAATGTTTTAATTTCCCATAGATGAACACTTGTCTCTCCAACTAGTTTAACACCTATACAGGCAACAAGGACTAGTAGAGAGAGCCAAACATCAGACTCTAGCTGAGAAAAACTAACATAGCTTCTAATTAACTTCTAACATGATCAAGAATAACTCCTACCTGACATGGGTGAGTTAAAGCCTAAATTTTAAAAAAGGAATAAAGTGCCAACCATAGTACATGGTCTATAGCAGGGTCTGGAAAATGACAGCGCAAAATGATTACCTACTAAGTACCTTGGTATTTCTTGTGTGGCCTTTCTCCACGCTGGACATCCAGACAGCTATCTCAAACATCGCACAACAGGGTAAAGAGAGCATACTAGCCTGTTGTATAACAAGCTGGAAGACAGTGATGATCCCAATTGATGTTCCTGAATTCAGAGGGTCTGCTCCTGAAATGAAAATGTGTGAGTGGAGAATCAAGACTCCCTGAGGGTAGAAATACCATAGTGGGCCCCAAAGAGAAACAGAGCATTCCCACCACCGCCAGCAGGGGACAGATGATGGAGCACTGACACACTGGGATCCAGCAAATGAAGGAAGCCATCAATAATGTAACAAAGATTTAGCCAAGCAATGCTCAGGAGTAAAGCTGTTATAAAGTCAAAATACTGGCAAAAAATCTATCATCCCCAATAGGGAATTGATTAAATAAATTACAATGCATTGACCAATTAAGCATATCTACTCTATTTAAAATGATGATGATAGGGGTGCTTGGGTAGCTCAGTCGGTTAAATGTCCGACTTTGGCTCAGGTCATGATCTCTTGGTTTGTGGGTTCGAGCCCCGCACTGGGCTTTGTGCTGACAGGTCAGAGCCTGGAGCCTGTTTTACATTCTGTGTCTCCCTCTCTCTGCTCCTCATCTGCTCATGTTCTCTCTCTCTGTCTCTCTCTCTCTCTCTCTCTCTGTCTCTCTCTCTGTCTCTCTCTGTCTCAAAAGTATATAAACATTAAAAAAATAAAATAAATGATAAAGAATTCTTGATAATATTTTTAAAAAATCTTCTAGAGATCTTTCAAGAGGGAAATAATACTATAAAAAGCTTCTTGTCATGTAATTTCTGTAAGAAAAAGTGAAAGTAACACACCAAAAAGATAAGAGTAGTTATTTATAGAAGATGTGACTATTCTGACATTCTCATCGATGCTTCTACTTAAAAAAAAAAAAATCCAAGTGCACTACTTGTATAAAAAGGGGGGAAATGTTAGTTTGAGAGAGAAAAAGGAAGAAAGAAAAGGAGGAGAAGGGGGAAAGGAAAGGGAGGTCAGAAAGCAGGGCTTCATAAACATCTTCCCACCAAGATGCTTCTCCTCTGCAAACCTTTCTGCTCTGCTTCCTTCAAAGCTTTGGCTGGGGAAGAACAACACTAGCCATGATGCTGGTAAAAGATTATAGATAAAAGGCTAGCAACATACACAAAGCATTAACAGAGAGTAAATATTCATAGATCAAAGTAAAATTTAAGAGTAATTTTAAGCCAAAAGTACTTTGCCTTTCCCATGTACTCCTCCTAAAAGCATACAAGGGCCCTAAAACAACCCAAAAACTTTCAACTAAGTGGAATGATCCAGAGCAGTATAATATAGGAACATCATCTTCTTCAAAAAGCATCCCAAGACAAAATATCATTTGCAGCAAATGGCATTAAGGAAATGATTTTGTGGAGAATTACTTAAAGTCCCAACCTGGGTCTGGTAAAAACCATGGTGTAATATTGAAGCAAAGCATCTGAAGCCAGACTGCTCAGGTTGAAGTTTTTCACTTATACTCATCAAACGGGCAACTCACTTGACTTCTTTCCCCTCTGTTGCCTTATCAGGGATAGGAAAAAAATTGTATCTTATGGGGTTTTCATTAGCACCAAATGAATTGGTATGTGTAAAATGTTTATAACTATGGCCAACATATAGTAGGGTACTCCATAAATGAATGATTGATAATACTCATAGATGGTTATTATGTACTGGCTACCTAGCATCCATTTCCTTCCCAAACACTATTTTGGATCTCCTTAATGAAATCACTACTCCCCTGTTCTCAACTCTATTATGTTGAGTGGGATTGATCCTATACTCCCCTTCAGAGGTGGTCATTAATTGGCTTAAATCACTGTTGCAAGAAATGATGATTTGCTCAGGAAAGGACATATGACCCATTCAGGCCAATGAGAGAGAAGTGATTCTGAGGCTTGGGAAGAGTCTCCTAAAGAAACTCTCTCCTACCCACTAGACGATACAGTATACGAATGTGGGGCTGTGGCTGCCATAGCTATTTGGCTATCATAATAAGGCCTGGATCAGGCCCACCTGAGGCTAGCCTACTGCTACACAATTTGGTTACATGAAGCAATAAACTGTTATTTAATCCAGTTTGGTCTGGCCTTCTGTAAATTGCACATAAGAAGCTCTAATTGATTCACTTTTCTGAGATGAATAATCCTTTGCATTTCTTTCTCTTTGAACGTTCTAGGCATTATCTACATTAGAATTTGATTGAGTCTCAAACCCTCTTTCTCTGAAGAAAATGAAAAGAAATAAGCCTTCAGCTACCTTCAACCTTTAATATCTCAACTATTTCAACCCACTCCAATTTCTTTTTTTTTTTTTACAAACAGTTTATTGTCAAATTGGTTTCCACATAACACCCAGTGCTCATCCCCACAAGTGCCCTCCTCCATGCCCATCTCCCCCCTCCCCCCCGACATCCATCAGTCCTCAGTTTTTGTCAGCATTCAAGAGTCTCTCATGGTTTGCCTCTCTCTCTTTCCCTCATTTCCCCCCTTCTTCTCCCCCTTGTTTCTCAGTTAAGTTCCTCCTAATCCTCCTATACGTGCAAACATATGATATTTGTCCTTCTCTGCCTGACTTATTTCGCTCAGCATAACACCCTCAAGGTCCATTCATGTTGCTACACATGGCCAGATTTCATTGTTTCTCATTGTCATCTAGTATTCCATGGTATAGATAAACCACATCTTCTTGATCCATTCGTCTGCTGATGGATACTTAGGCTCTTTCCATGTTTTAGCTATTGTTGAACCCACTCCAATTTCTAAGATACCTTCTAAAACGATCACTTGAAAAATGGTCCAGGTATTTGGACTAAGAAAAGCACAGAAACTAAATCAAATGCATAAAACTCTACGTTGTGTCTTTAAATTCAGTAACTACTCAAAGAGAGAGAATAAGAAATATGATTTGCAACAATGTATTTAACCATTTGGTAAAATTGCACTATGAAATTGATGTCTCTCAGATTTTCTGATGAGCTACTTGAAGGACAGGGCAGGTTATCACACAACTTTAAAGCACCACAGCACTTAAGCCAGTCTCTCCCATCTAATAGACTTGTCAAGTTGAAATGCCCATCATTTAGGCTACACCCTGCTCAGACCACAACTGCAGCCATGTACTGAGCATCCACTGTCCACCAGGGACTTTGCCGGGCAATTCACACATATTCTTTTAGAGAATTTACCTCAAAGCACATCTGCATGGTAAATACTAAACTCCCATTCCTATTTATAGAGGAGGAAACAGGGCCAAATTGCCCCAGGGACACACAGGTAGTAAATGATGGCACTAAGATTAGAACCCTGACCTAATATGTAAAAGACACATTGACAGTGAAACACACATCACATGAGTATCAGGAGAAGAACAAAAGATCATGTGGTTGCAAGATGTAAAGGTCAAGGGTATTTGAGGTAAGAGGCAGTGTGATGTAGAGGAAAAAGACACGAGCTCACATCACTCTGCAATGATAGAGCTTCATGACCTTAAATAAGAAAAAGAATCATTCATCTGTTTGTTCAACAAATGTTCATTATAGGTCTACTACGTGCTTAATATTCAAGAAACAATAGTGAATAAAACAGACATGGTCCCTTCCCCTTGTGAAACTTGCAATTCCATTAGGATCCTAGAAAGAGAAAGCCCTTTCGGGTTCACCTAGTCCAATTCTCCCTTTGACAGTTGGAAAGACTGAGATACAGACAGGGGAAAGACTTGCTCAAAGTTACACAATGAGTTGGTGAGTGGTAGAACTGGACGAAAGCCCAGATTTTCATATGACCTACTGCAAAGTTGCATAAGTGGGAAGAAGGTTAACTGACTCGCCCACCCCATAGGACTCCCCAAACAGCTGAGATAGAGTATCCAAAAGAAGTTGAAAGGTATATAAAGATATTCATGGCAGCTCTGTCAGAGAAGGCACACACAAGCACATAAATACAAAGCAACTTACATGTGCTCCAGCTAGAGACTGTTAAGTAAACTATGGCACATTCATATGATGGATGCTTTTGCTATTATCACAAGTAATAACAAAGGTTAGTTTTGTTGGTTTGGTCTGGAGAATTGCCATGGAGTTTTGTGAAGCAGGGGGGAAGGCAAGTTGTATAATGAACATAACATAATCCCATTTCTTGTTGACTTCTTCATTTCAAGAAAACATAGATGTGTTTCGTATATTCATATTTAAAGATAAAGAAATATGTGAAAAAATACACATCTTTGGTTTTCTCAGGGGGGTAGCACTGGAAGAGGGGAGTAATTCTTAACTTCTTTATATACAAACTTTACTTTTGATCATTCTTTTTTGAATAGGTAATATATTGACATGGCTCAAAATACAAAAGAGGAAGTATCATACTAGCTCCATTCTCCAAAGGCTCTAAGCTCCCATGGACTGCCAGTTTACTACATATCTTTTCAGAGATACTTCATGCAAACACAGTGATCTCTGTATACATGCAAGATACAAAACATCTCACCATGCATTTGTTCACTTGACAACAAACACACCTTAGATATCGTATTGTCTCAGTCAATTTGGGCTGTGTAACAGAATACCATACACTTGGTGGGTTCAACAACACATATTTATTTCTCACAGTTCTGGAGGCTGGAAATCCAAGATCAGGGTACCAGCACTGTCAGGTTCTTGATGAGGACCCTCTTCCTGGTTTGCAAATAGAAGGCTCATATGATGGAGAGCAGAGAGAAAAAGCAAGCTGTCTCTTCTCCTAAGGGCACTAATCTCATCATAAGGATTCTACCACCATGACCTAATTACCTCTCTAAAGGTCTCACCTCTCAATGCCATCACATTGGAGACTGGGCTTTCAACATGCACATTTGGGGGCAGAAGGATACAAACATTCAGTCCATAGCACGGATCTTATTCATGTAAGACGAGCTTTCTTTTCTCCAGCTGCCTTTATATGACCAACACCTTCCTCATGGTCATTTAGGTTGCTTCCTAGATGTTTTTGTCTCAATGACCAATTCTGAAAAGAGTAAATTTTTTAAATTACTGTTCTAAAATTACATCAGATGTCAGTCTTCAGTCACACTATGTCAAAAATCTTCAATGGAACCTGGTTTCATTCAGAGCAAAAGTGAAAACCCTTCCAATGGCCTGAATGACCCAGTGAGATCTGCACCCACCCCCCATCTCTCAGCTCTGGGAACTTATTTTCTACCATCAGCCCTGCCCTCTCCAGTGAGTGACAAAGGCCTCCATGCTGGTCCTCAGAACTTTCTTCTTCTCCACCACTCACTCCATCACGGTTCTGAGCAAACATCACCTTCACAAGGAGGTGCCCCACAGTTTGCATAGCACCCCCCCCAGGACCTCCTATTTCCTGTATCCACATGCCACCATGTTTCCACCATATTTGTCACCTTCTAACATATCACATAACTTTCTGATTTATCATGGTAGCTGTCATCTGAACACAGTAAATGGCACACAGGACAAGCTTAATGGATATGAGTGAATCGCACATAGGTGTGAGCATATTTTATTACACATATCTTTTTAACAATTAAAGTATTTTAGAGTATAGAAAAAAGGAAATATATACTGTATTTGGAGAAAGGAGAAGAGTTAGAGATATAGTTACCATTCCAAACAAGACCTTTACCTATAACCATAGGGCATATTTCATGTGATTTGTTTGAATCACTCTGCACACATCTCAAGCAATCCTCATAATAATCTGTGAGTTAAGTGAGTACAATTGTTACTTACTCCTTTTTAGGACTGAGGGAACTTGGGCTCAGAGCAGTTCAGTAATTTGTCCAAGATCACACAGTAGGAGGGGGGAGAGTCCACAGCATGGATCCAAATACAGGCACCCTGGTTCCAGAACCATGCTTTTACCTACTAAGCTTCAACTAAGATTTCCATTCATGCCAGTGGCCTTTTGAATGCATTAGGATTCACTAGCACTTAGTGAAATCCTTGAAAGCCACTAATAAATCACTATAATCTGAAATCTTGAGCTTTATTTTCACATGAGCACACAATGTCAAGAGAATTATGAGCCTGCTCCAGGCTGAGAAGGCCACCTTGTAGTGTGCAGTGAAGGTACCATTTGAATCCAGATATTTTTCAGTCTTGGCTTACCCTTAAGCACCACACGATGCTGTCTGCACATGGGCCAGAATGAAAAAAATAAATAAATAGGTGGGTCATGTGCTCGTAAAGCCCAAAGAGCTCCCAGGAGGTTCTTTGTCCCCAAGGACTCACAGCAGCCACCCAAGCTGCCATGCATGATCTCTGGCAAGTTTTGACTTGTAAGGTTCTTTCAACAGGAAGCATTGCCGGCTCAGATCTTACCTTGATCAGTGCAGTGGCTGGGAACTCTCAAAGCCACGTCAACAGGCACGAGAGAGATAATAGCCAGCCGTGAAATGTTATCGGAGAGGCAGCAGACAGTCATCCTCCAGGCTACCAGAGTGCCTGAGTGATGGGCAGCACACACCAGGCCCTGGGGACCCAGTGACTGTCACTCTCCACATCTCTTAACAGAACCACATAAATCATATGTCCACCTTGGGTAATGGATCCTTTCAAGGCAGACGGCAGCTGACATTTAACGTGCTATCGACCTAGAGCAGGCTCGTGAGTCTCTTGATGCTGTTTGCACTTGTGAAATAAAAATAAAGCATTAGGGCCACACTTCTATATGGGTGGTTGCCTCGGGTTTCACATACTTAAAAATGCCACCAGTCTAGGAGTTGGGAGGTCTGCGTTGAGATGGTATCAATTATTTTCTGACAGCCATATGACATCTGAGTCTCGGTTTGTTCATCTGGGGAGTAGGCAGCTGGGCCAAGGGCTGTGAATTCAGGCTCAGTTCCACCCTGTCCCTGGTCAATCCCAGGGCCTGGGGTCCTCCTGCTGTGTCATCCCTCACTCTAGCCAGTACTGGAGGCAGGCTGAGCCCCTAATTAGGGTCTCAGAAAAGCAGGGACACCAAAAAAGGAATGCTTTAAAAGCAACAGATACTTGAACAAAGCATTGAGGTGGTCTCTGTGAGGAAACTTCTGAACTTTTTTGTTATATTAATTGGTGATTTTTTTACTAATGGGGGGCAAAAACCATAATCATTCCATATTTATAACCTTATATGACCCTGTTCTGAAACCTAGAGGCTTCTGACCTGTCTTCCTTTGAAAATATCTTTTAAAACCTCTGTGCCTTGGTCTCCTTTTTTAAAAAGGGGAACAATTGCTCAGAGTTACTCCCTAATGGTACACATTTGTATATGAGGGGATACAATCACTCACCATGAGGATGAGAAAGGTGTGACAGGGTATTCTTTGCAGCGTTGTTTGTAATAGCAAAATAGGAAAAACAAGGTAAGTGTCCATCACCATAGTGTTCATTAACTCAATCATGGGCACACTCAGTCTCTAGAATACCAGATGCCCTTAAAGTGAATGCAGATCTGTACGTGTGGAATAGAACATTCTCCAGAACCCATTTCTTTTTCTTTTTTTTTTTTATTAATGACTTTTTAAAAAATATTTTTATTTATTTCTAGGAGAGAGAGAGAGAGAGAGAGACAGCGTAAGCAGGGGAGGGTCAGAGAGAGAGGGAGATACAGACTCTGAAATAGGCTCCAGGCTCCGAGCTGGCAGTCAGCACAGAGCCCGATGCAGGGCTCGAACCCACGAACCGCGAGATCATGACCTAAGAGAAAGTCAGACGCTTAACCGACTAAGCCACCCAGGCACCCCTCCAGAACCCATTTCTAAATGAAAAAAATCAAGATGCAGACCAATGCATAGTAGACTCCCACTTGTGTTTCTTTTAGAGAAATCTATATTCACATATGTTGATTTATACATGGAATATTTCCAGAAGGATAAACAAGAAACTGTTACCAGAGGTTGCCTCAGGGGATTAGACAAGGCAGCCTGAATGAGAGGGAACAAAGCCTCATTTCCATTCTATATACTCTTGTACTATTTAATTTTTCTATTACTCATGTGCAGAACTTCTATTTAAATAAACAAAAGGGCCACATCTATGTACCATATTGCTATCAATATTAATGATAGAAGATAATGAAAGATCATATTCTGTCAATACTAATTAGAGAGAATTCCCCCATTTCAAAGGCTGTGGAGCATTGACTATGTGCAAGCATTGACTATGTGCAAGGACTACAGACTAGCCATGTGGAGGGGCCTGAGGCTAGATCCTTTCTTTAGTAGGGCATGGTAGTTACCATCTCACACACTGGAGGGAAGTGTGCCAAGCATCTACCCCTGGGCAACTATGGGGAAATCAGGTCACCTCCCTGAACCTCTGTTTTGTTATCTGTGAAATGAGGATCAAGAGCCTGTTCCCTGGCCTCATTCCAAACTGCTGTGGTGAAGAACAAAGGAAGGCAGGTGAAGTGCCCAGGCCTGGTTCTTAGCAAATGGCAATGAGCACAGGCTACTGCGTGTACTCATAGAAAGACACTATGACGTGTATATTTCTCCATTTGAACTCTAGCTACTTGCTCTTCCAAAACCAGGAACCTCTTAGTTTTTGATAATCCATACCCCTTTCTATCCAAACTTGCTATCTGAACTCAGGAACAAAACAGATTTGGAAAGGAAGGGTTATTCTCACTCTTAAGAAGTTTAGAAGAGGAATCTAAGCTAAGACTTGCAAGATAGGTAGGCAGGTTCAGTTGGGGGGGAGAGGAAGGAAATCCTTGCTGAGGAAGCAGCATGAATCAAGAGAATGCGGCACCAGGCACCTGAGGAATGGCCAAGAGCCCAGTGTTGGTACCCGCATCCCAAGACACAGTGGGTCCATCAGGGTAAGACTTCAAAAGCTGTGATGAAGAGCTTCCAAAATAAACTGATTCTGAAAGCTGAGGAAGAATGGAATTTCTTGATCTAACAAAGACGTGATAACGGCAGTGGCAGTGGGAATGAAAAAAGGAAGATGAAGCCTGAGAGATCCCAGGATGTGGACTAGCTAGGGTTTGGATGTATCATTGTGGATAAGCGAGGAAGAAGCTGAGGAGGTGAGGAGGAAGCTGAAGACAAACTCCAGATTTCTAGTTAACGCAATAAATCTGAGTTTTCCATACCAGGAGGAGGGAGCAGTGGGGGGTTCATGTGAGTATAATGTCACCAAACACAATCCACTCTGTTTTAACTTCCAAACCATCAGGGGATCTGAGCAAGCTTCTCTTTAATTCATCCCATAAATATTTACTGAGCACTTACTGTGTGCTAAGTACTAAGCCATGAGCCAGAAAGGTAACGGTTAAGAAAACACAGCTCTTCCAGGTGATGTATGGAATTGTTGGATCACTATACTATACACCTGAAACTAATATAACACTGTATGTTAACTAAGTGGAATTAAAACAAAATTTAAAAAAAAAAAAGAAAAGGAAACATATTGCTTGATCTTGTAGTCCTTAAAATCTATTGTGCAGTCTAGGCAGGTTAACAATCACAATCGTGCTGGGACTGGAGAATTTACGGGAGATTGAGATTTCCAGTAGGGGCACCTTCTCCAAGCTTGGGTGTCAGTAAAGCCTTAGGAAAAGACTTCAAAGCTGAGAATAGAAACAGAAGGATTCAAGTAGACAAAGAGCCAAGAAACAATATTCCAGAGTTGACAGTAGATGTGGAGGAGGTAAAGAGGTGTGATTTGGTGGGATGGAGATGGGGAGGTGGGGAGTGAGAAGAAAGGAGGCCACAGTAGGACCAGGTCATGCTGGATGGTGCTAGGAGTTTGTGCACAGACATCACTCTTTGGGCATTTGTCAGCACCAGCATGACCCAGTACAGACCTTGCTCTTGTAGCTTCAGTGTGTACACTTAGGAGGATTACGTCTGGGCACATGGCCTGGGGAGATGCCCCACCAAGACTGTGCAAAAGCAATAGTCAGGCCAATGATTTGCAACCAAGTTTGGATGGAAAACAATGAGTTTGCTTTTGTATCAGATTTCTAACTAGGGATTTTTTTCAGCCCCATCA